ATACTTAAGGCTCGTACCATCAAATGCTACTCTGATTGTGGCACCAGCAGCGCTGATTTACCATTGGGAAACAGAAATCAATGAACGTCGTGAAGATGATCTTTTAAGACGCTCGCTTTCTGGAAACTCTTGTATGAACATTTTGTTTCTGTCGGACGCCAGTTTACAATGTGTACCTGAAAAGGACTCCGAACACGGATCCTTTCATGCTGAAAAGACAATAAAACGTTTCCTGACGATTTTTGGCAACAAAAGCTTACTTTGTTGTCTCCCTCAACCTCGCTTGCTAATGTCGTGCAAGTGGTAATAACACATCAGCATGTTTTAAGCAAGATTCTTGTACACTCGCAAGGCTGCAAAGGTATGGCAATTCGTTCCCAACACCTACATGTTAATACCAATCTTCTTCCACGAAGCGCACCATAATGCACAAAAACTCAAAGTTCGTGGTCGCTGTCGCGCTCGGCGGAGACGTCACCGATCAGAGTGCGTTTCGAATTCGTCAGACGCAATATCTTTGGAAGCGAGCGCGGCTTTATTAGCCGCAGAGCGCATGAGGCGCGGGATTTACTTCGCACCCGCTCACCCAATACTGCTTATGCGCCTTCGTCATGCAGTAGCCTTTACGTTTTCATACTTTACATAAAATGTATCTACGCTGTAAAAGTTTACCTACAGAGAAGAAACAATTTCATAATGTTTCCTTTTCAGCGTTTTATAGCCATCTGAAAATTACTCGGTCTGCTCCGCAGTCGAAAAATCGGCTTTTTCTGCATCTCGATGTGATTCATCCACTTAAAAAGCTCAGAAAGCTGCGAAAAGTTCTTTTATGAAATCAACATGCATGAAAACCCTACTACAGACTTGTACATAATCTAAGAATAATGACAGGCCTTTAAAACAGCAAAGGGGACTTCGTACGAAATTTCAAGATCAAATGGGACTTCGTTTTGAAATTTCCCTCGTGCCAGCTCGTGCCGAGTCTAGGTGTAAGCAGATGAAAATATGCCAATTTTCCTTGCACAAAGTCATTCGTGAAGAACTGAGAGCAACAATGCAAATCGCCTGAAACTAAGGTGTCTCGAGGTATCGCCAAGCCTCAAAGCACGGTAGGTATTGAAGCTTGATACAAATTGGGTAACTGTGGTTACCCGCAACCGCTTATCAAAAAAAAGCGGTAGTGCGTTTTCTTTTGATCAATTGCCACGCTTGCCACAGTCACAATCATTTCGCCTATCCGTTTTACGAAGATGGTTAGTTATTCAATGTTGCACACTCATTAGAAGTCCACAAGGGGCTTAGCGACTGAAATGGGCATCGTGAGAGTAGCACGGTCAAACCATAGAAACAAACTCGGTTATGTCTATTATATCCTGAACATTGAGGACCTATTTTGAAATCATGGCTTTTGAAACGACAGAGTCAGCGTTTTTTGTCATATTCATGGCGTTTGTTAGAGAATGTTTGAGATACTTTACATCAAGAATATATGCCATCTACTGCTTCAATTTGCCACTTCTTGCTGCAGTTTTGTGCAGAGGTGACCGATGATTACGGTGACGTTAAAGACATGTCCGGGCAACATTCGATCTTCAGAAAATCCACTTACCGGGGGTTATCCGCAACGCTGAATCCGAAAATCCACATTAGAAAGCCCGAAAACGGCGAGAACATCTGTTTTCCAGAGCTTTACAATTTGAAATCAGACGGTCCCCGCCAAGGCTGAAACGCAGAGCCATTGCGGGACCCTATGATTTTAACTGTGGCGGCATGCGTACTCTGCCGCATAGCAGGGATTAAAAATAGGTCGGAGGACCCCACCTCAAGCCGTAAGTTTCCCCACTTCCTGGACGTTTTTCTTGCTTTAGACCAAACGTTATAACCTCGTACTTGCGCGATGCTGTTATGAGGGGGGCCACTTTCGCATGGCAGTGAAATCCCAAAACCCCGTTTTGTCCGGCACTGCCTCTAAGAAAGGAACTCTTGGAGAATAAGGTCAGTTTAACATCCGGTGTGTGTTGACATGCGTAGGCCCACTGGCTATTGTTGAAAAAATCAGGTTGACTCACATAGTGTTAGCTTGTCCAAAATTGAGATTGACTGATAGAACCTGAACATTGAACTCTCTATATATAGGCATCAAATTAAGCATAAAATTCAAAAACTGTTTATTCCATGGACCATTGTTGAATCAGGTTGACTCACATAGTGTTGGCGTGCTCAAGAATGAGATTGGTAGAATGTGATCATTAATGATCTTTATAAAATGCATAAAACTCAAAAATTGTTCGTTTGGAGGGTATGTGCGTTATAGAAACGATCGCCGCTCAACCGATTGAATTGAAACTATACACTATTGACTTCTGCGCAAGTTCTAGGCTACTTCTCAAAGCGATTCACCGGGTCCTTCTATCCCATTAATTTCTTTCCCATCTTAGAAAATAAAAGCTCATCATGCTTAGCACTTGACCAATTTTACCGTGTTAACGAGGGTTGCAAAGCTAAAGCTCATTTACATTTTGCGGTGAGGAAGTTGCGGTGCTAGAAGAGATGCAGTCGGTGAGGAAGACAAATGTACCGCAGCAAGTAAGCGCAGGTCTAAAGCAGGGACAAGAAAGAAGAAGTGGAGCGGCACGAGAGTGAGAAGTGGAGCGGCACGAGAGTGAAAAAGAGCAAAGGCGGGGGTCCTCGGAATGGTAAGTCCTTGGATTCTCTGAGAAGGATGCGCAGTCCACTGGGCATGAATCCACGGTTCGAGCGGACCGAAAATGCCAGCTAGTCTCTAAAAAAGATGAACCTTCTTTGTTGCAAAATGTTATAAATCTTTGTTCTTTCAAGCGTAGCGCATGTTTCAAAGAAAGGAAGTTACATTTGGGGGACCTAATGATATTCATGTGTTACTATCTTTACTGAATATTCCGCTTGCTTTCGTTCACGCTTTAGGAGGATTATTTTATGGTGCACATGGCTTTGATTTTTTATGCAGGTCTTTTTGCAACCCTACATCTGTTGAAGTCAGTTTGCCCGTTGTTGTTTTTATTGTTAACAAAAAGGGGTATTTATTCAACATTGCAACCTGACAAGTTATTTTCTTATGCCAGTGAACTATGCCTAAAATGGATACGTGATCACCTCATAATGTTATACAACAATTGTTAATCTACAGAACTGGCCATGCCATACCCAGCGTTCCCAATCGCGCGGAGCTAAGTATAAGCATAAGCATAGGTGTTTCCTGTAACCATTCAAAAACTTTGAGTACTCATTGCAATAACAACACCATGTCAACTCAATCATAAATATCAATGATTTTATTGATCGCGAAAGCTAAGCAATCAACCTTCATCTGTACTGGTATGTTAATGCGTAATTATTCCGCTTACACGCATCTGCGAACTTTTCTCAGGTATCTTTGCTCTCGTCTGGGTGCATGTAACTTATGTTACGCGTAATATAATACCACCAGTGCTTCACCTCTGCTTCGCAGAGGCTCGCACTGGCCATCAAGAAACGATGGTAAACTTACGATGTGAAGGCTTTCTTTTAGATTATTGCCAGGTTGACTGCCGTGAGAGAGACCTAATTGAGAATGAACCATACTCGCTATCAGAACCTCACATGCTCGAAAGCATTGTAAATCATTCTTCACTGTATTTTCGTAACAGACAGACTTACAGACCGACAAATAAGCGGCTTATTATAAGTCATGATTTTACGAACAAGAATAAACAAATCAGTAAAGGTCAATGGATTATAAGAGACAAACTCGTAGACAGATGTTGACAAAGCTTCAAGCAAAACGAATAATAGGTGCGCAGCCGAAGTTATGATTTACGATCAGCATTGGAGTCTGCTTTTTACTTCGGGCGAACGGAACCAGGAACACTTAGGTAAACGAAAACGTACTTTGTTCGCAAAGGCGTTCAGCAAACACGGAAGACAGAATTGAAGTCAGCTTCTTTACTGTATACAATGCTGTGCTGGTTATTTGGGGCATTCGACTTCTGACCCTTCCCTTCTTACGGGGTAAGAATATTTTATAGTCTTGGCCTTTCACTATGTGACAGTTATGACATTCGCCTTAAAACGGTGATTTCAATACTGCATCTTTTATCTGCGGACCGATTTATCTATAGGCCGTCCGCGCAGGGCGCGGAGAGTGCGCAAGGTGTGTATTGCGCGTCACTCCTCTTTCCTCGTGCACTCTCGCCGCCTGTTTTTCTCTGCGCTTCTTCCAGTCGTGAACTGCCTTCAATGTACGCAACAGCATTGCTCTCCGTGCGCAGCGCGGACGGCCTATAGGAGAACCGTGTTAACTCCCTTCTGGTGCGTTTGCAAAAAATACGAGTAATGTCGACAGGTGTTAAAGCTATCGAATGGTCTAGCGGTTAGCGCTGTCGATTGTTGTACAATGGATACCGGTTTGATCTCCGTCAGTGCAAAAATTTTTGCGTTTGCTTTTACAAGCGCTATCTTTTCTCAGAAAAACGTTCTGCAGATAACGAGCATAGTTTCGAGGTCAGCTTTTCAAGGCGAGCATTTCGATGTATAACATATCCCAAAGGCCACGGTCGCCAGTTATTTTTTTTCCTTCTTAGTTTTTTACGAGATTTCTGCTGTTATTTCAATCTACCATTCCTTCCCCGCCCTCGTCGCCGCTTCGTGTATAGGCGAATCCCATGCGCGTATAGCGGGCGTGGCCGTGCAGACATTTGAACACGTTGAAAAGCTTGTTGCATCTCCATTTGAAAGCATTAGTTTTTATACTCTTTAGCTGCCAAAAACTGTCGCGCGCATACGTTGGCAAACATTGGCAAAGTTTCGCCCGCTATACTGTGGGGATCGGACCATACCATACCTTTTCAATGTTATTTAACTACTTTCTCTAGAATGGCCTCGGGAGCGGTTTACAACTACATGCTACTCTGTAAAGAGGTAGAGACGAAACAGACACTATAAACAGAATTTATTTTGAACAACTCAAAAGAAATTTACTTCAGCATCATTCCTGTGCCATGCACTTTGCCCAGCAAACCTTGATTTTCTTTCTACGTAAGTATTTATTCAATTTGTTTGAGCGTATGCAGCGGCAAGAATTTTAATCATACCGTCGGAAGTGTTTGTGTTGACGTTGAAGGGTCTTTTGGCGCAAAACTTGAGATACGAGCGCGAATGCCTTGTGATGTTTATCACTATAGCATTGCATCGCCTGGCATGAGGTTTGCGATCGGAGCATTGAGAACGAAATTGCAGTTGTCAAAAGTACGAACACTATCTCCTTTTGACAGAAGTCCAGGTATGATTTGCTCAATATGTGCTCCCTCCGTTATTCTGCGTTGAAGCGGTGGCCAGGGTCGAAAAAGGCCTGTGGCACACAACCGCCTGATACCCTCCTCCCTCGACTTCTGTCGGCTACACTAAGCAAAATTAGCACATATTAGTTTTCGTCATATCAAATATTCCTGTGGGCCAAGTTTTAGCGAATTCCGGAGGTTCTCAATGTTGAGAACTCAAGGAGCTTCCAAACTACGCTGGTTGCCGCCTTTGCAGCCGAAACGTAGTGGATCATGCCATTGCCTCCCTAACGCCCATGCAGCGCAAAAACTCATTGATCAATCTATTTTTTTGTCATTTATATTCTTTTATTGATTTTTCTGTTATAAGTTGGTTTCAAGGTAGTCTTTCGTTAATAACTGCTCCAAGACTTGAAGCATCCCCGCTGAATACGGATGCAAGTTTCAATCAGCTGAAGTTTACCAAGTGGACTGTTCATTGCGTTTTTTCCAGTTCATTTACGCTCAAGTTCTATGCTTTTTGTAAGTGATGGGTCTGGAAATCTGGGCGCGATGTTGAAGAGCACCCGTGCAAATGTGTGATAATGCATGGACATACGCATAGAAAAACTGCATCACTCACAACAAATATGAAAACAAGAGCGTGAACACGCTACCCAATTGTGATGCTACCCGCTTCGTGTTTAGCCAAGGCCAAGATGAGGTGGTACTTAAGAATTTTGAAAAACGAAGTTCCATCGAGCTTGCAGAACATTACGAAAAGGGGGTTTGTGGGGTTTTTGGAAGTACGGCCAATATCTGCCGCGAACGGTGAGTGGATGGAAGTGAAGAAATTATGAGGGAAGTCGAGATAAAAAAGCAAAAGAGAAAAATGGCTGTTCAAAATTATCAAGGGCCGTAGCTAATAAGAGGAGGAAAGACTTGCGTCAAGGTATAGGGCATTCGAAAAATCGTGACGATGGCGCACCGCGCGCAACACGCACGCACTCCCAACTCTTGGTTTCTGTAGACTCAAATAGTTTTTCTGCTTACATATGATAGTATTCAAGCACTGGAAATGACTGAGCTTAGCGTTGAGGTGTTGCTCGTTTGTATGGGTGTTTTATCCTTCTGTGTGTGGAAAGACCGCAGTCAGCTCGTCGTCACAATTTTAAAAATGAACGATAATTTGTTTATATTTTTCATACTTTCCTTACTCATCTTCGCGAAGCTACAGGCCAGATTCATTAGTTCGATATCGCTTACCCGTTGTGAACAAAGTGATTGTTTATCATTTTGTGCTTAAAAACCCTCGCGACCACAACTACTCAAACAGTTGAAATCGTGTCGACACACATTTTTAAGTCATCATGTTTGTAATGTGTTAATTCACCTGCTACCGTTGGAAAATTATTAGACATTCAAATGGAGCTGTACTTCCTAATACTTTGTCAAATTTTCCGGGTATTACTCTCAAAAAAATCCACGATTTTCTTTCTTCCTCAAAAAGCGATATACAGGTGTGAAAGCGCCAACTCGCTGAGCCATATGTTTAGCTCAAGTTTCATATTTGCTGTGGATAATACTGTTTTTTCATGCTTACCGCATCCAGTCTTTTATTCCGCATCACCCAAAAAAATCTTGCGCGTAATAAAAACTGAAAAGAAAACTCACTGAAAGTGCACTTTATGAACTCCAGCTAACTGAGGCGATACTTAGCGCATCTGTACTCAACGGCGATGTTTCCAGTCTTAGAGCAATCTAAGAGTCTTAGAGCATTATCAAAAGTACCTCGCAACCAGTCTTTAACGAAAAAATCAATGATAAGATATAAAAAAGCACAAAAAAAGATTGATCAACTAACCTCGGATTCAGGTCTGAGTCAAAATTCCGGCTAATGTAAATAAGGTCAATGTGGGCAATATCAGGAAAATAACCATTTTTGGTCAGGCGTAAGATTCAGGCATACTTGTTTTTTTTTTGAAGATATTGTCTGCTTAATGGAGTGCTTGATTTTGACAGAGTTTTGGAGGTTCCAACAAAAAGGACGTAACTGGAGAACGGAGTGATTTTATGTTTATAAACTGCAGAGAGCAAAAGCTTCCCTTTAAAGGCAGCGCCTGGCAATCTGAGCTTTCTTTCACTATAATAAGCAAGTACTAGGACCTCGGTTTAGAAATACTACTGCGCAAATTCGGCACATATATATCTCTAAAGGGGAAAATTAGGCCTGCAAATTACCAAAACCTGCACACTTATTTCGTTCGACGCCAACCTCCTCAAACGAAATTTCCTCAGCCCTAGACGTTCTCCATGGCAGGCATCACTAAATGCACACTATTTAACAGGTTGATGTTTGCTTGGATAGTGCCAGGGGCACTCGTCCACGGATTCAAAAGAAAAACCTCAATTTTGAGAGATTCACGCTTTTGAGTGTCATATTTGTTGTTGAAGCCATGCATATACCAGATAAGAAAGGTAAAAGTTGGGGACTGCTCAGAGGTCGCCTTCAAAAGGACCCAAGCCAAAGTTGAAACATCCACACTTCAGCAAACTGTTGACCATACCACATTTTGAAACCTGCGACTTTTCTTGTATAAGGCCGCCCCAACCTAAAAAAGCTCACCTTAAAAAACAGGAGCTACCAAAAAAAGCATTGATATATACTTGCGGCGATGCCCGTTTCGCCGCATGCGGCGCCGCTGGCAAAGCTAACAAGTCGCATTCACAGTCAACGGGAAAAATTCTTAATTTAAAGCATGTGATATACTTGTGCCAAAACCTATCATCATGTTGGACACGAAAGATATAGAAAAATAATGCTCCGTCCTACTCATAGCCTTGTCAATGGTAGTGGACATGTTGACCTATCAGAGGCTCGCTGTGATAGCGAGCGGTTCAAAAGGGCCGTTTTCCGGGGACCCCTCCGTTAGATAGGTCCGTAGTATCAGTCAAACCGACAAGCGACAGGAGTTGAACGCGCGCTGCCGTGGTTCGACGAGTAGATGCAATAGGCGGAGCAATTTCCTTCCCCCTCCTCCCATCGATTTGGGCCGACATCTGGATGACGCCGTTCATCGAGGCTGAGACTAGGCCAAGGCACAACGGCAGATAAAACACTTATGGTAAATGGCACACATTTTATGACCACCAGCTGCTGCTTCTTCTCAATCAGTGAATGACATGACTCGACTTTTACAGCATTTGTTGAGAAAAAGCAAGGAGACTTCCAGTCTTACTCAAAGTGGTTTAGTTTTGATAAAATAAACCTGAATTAGGGGATTTCTGGAATGATATCCGCGAAAGTCCGTAATGGAGGAAGATGGAATTCCAAACCCCATTTTATTCGTTCGCGGTAGAAATTGGTTGGAATCTACTTTCGCTAGCGTTATGCAAGAATTTTTATCTCATCGCAACCACGAGACAAAGCGGTGTGATAAAAATGATTCAACCCTACTTGAGCTCACGCTTGCGAAAGAATCATGCGAAAAGTCCATTTAGAATGGAGCAAAATGGGATTTACCTCCATTTTAAATGGACTTCAAAGCCCATTTTACCCCCAGCAGCAAGCAAGCTGGGACTAAGCCCATTTTGAACTTTTTGCGCATTTTTGAGGGCGATTTTTTGAGAATGTGTTTCTTGGCTCATTCTAAGGTAACAAGTGAGTGGAAAAAGTGTCATGTCTTTTATGAAGTCTGAAATAAGTGTTTCTTTCTAAACTCATACGAACGCTATGAAAATCATGTAAATAGGTTGAATTCACCAAAATATTCGCTAACATACTCAAATGCTTCCGAATCAGGGTCAAGCGTGTGATGCGACTGTCGCAACGGGGGGTCGTAAAGGGGGCCTACGGTGAGGGGGGGGTTGTAAGAGGGGGTAGTTTGGATAAAAAACCGTACGATTGAAAGCAAATCAAATAGCAAGTAATTATTACATGTTCTTAACAATAAATTCATGGAATGCCGTGTATTACCAATGTATCAAATAAAAACGAGTGAACAATAATTTGAAAACATTTGCAAGCGTAGAAATTCGCTTCATTTGCTGCACTTTTAAAAGATTATGACTTAGTTCTCTTTTTATGGGAATCGCTATTTCTCCCGCAAAATATTGTCTCAAACGGGGATCGAACCCTGCTGGCATGACTAAAATCCAAAAAATAAACACTTTCAGAAGCTCAAATGCTACCAAAGGCATGCATGTGTGATAAAGATGTTGCATGTACCGATTGGTATAGACATCCTGCTTCCGAAGGCTCACTGATCCCACACTCGACAAAGGCGCACATGTAGATCAACGATGACAATTAATAATTCGTAAATCTTTTTGTAATGCCATTTATGCGGCGTTTACAATTTATATGTACTTCAGATAAGCCCTGCTACTGCTGTGCGAAATCTGGTATTATTTTATAGACTGTGGATTTTCTTATGGTTTTATGTATGCTAGCAAAAAAATGAGAACAGGGGGGTCGTATCTGCGCCTGATCTAAATTTTTCCGGAGCTATTGAAGTTTGTTAGCTGCAAACTTGCTGTAATACGAGGCCATCCCTCTAGTTTTTATCACAAGAATTTCAGGCTGTGTTATAACTTCTCTGGTAAGTTACAAAATTTTGAGCTCAAAAATTCCAGTTTTTGCTTTTTGGGATCGCATCTTTGCGAGAGCCTGATCTAAATTTTTTCGAGCTCACTGCTCCTCAAGGGCTGAAACTTTTTCTATGAATAGTCTGGGCACTATGCTACAGAACCTGTTCTTTGCAGCCTCTCAGTCTTTTA